AACTACGTGAAATGCGTCGAGGAACATATGTAGGAATTAGGATGCAAATGAAAATAAATTAACCATGAAGCTCAAATAACGGTATGAAATCACCTAAAATATGAGGGCTAAATAAGACTAATTTGGGTGTTAAATTATCTCCATCCCCAAATTTTGGCAATTGCCAAATGAGGTGGAGGGTGAGGTGGAAATCCTTTAGCAATTGCTAGGGATGCATGGGTGATTGCTAAGTTAGCAAGCTTGCTAAATTAGCAAGTTGCCTAGCAATGCCGCCTAGACATATGAGACCTACTTTCATGATTGTTTTTTCTTTTCCTACCACAAATTGTATTCTTGTATATAATTATTTTAAGTTGTTGATTAGGAAAGTATTTTTATATGATTAATTAGCTAGAGAAGTAATTATGATACACATTTTTTTGCTATAAATTATATCTTAGATTTTTATCATCCAAAACAAAATAAAAATGTAAAGCTATAATTGAATATTCATGAAACTAGAAAGAAATTACTCTAAATACAAATATTTAGATATTTTTTATAATTCAATTTATAAACGCTAACTACGCATAAATATAAGATTGTCAAATATAAGAAAAACATAAGATTTTATATGGATATGTTGTGGGCCCATCAATAAAAATTGCTAAGAAATTGCTCGGATGAAGATGGCTAGAAATTGTTGAAGGTATAAATTGCTAAGTTTGCTTATATGGCTATGTGGGACCAATTTAGAAATTGCTAAAAAAATTTCTGAGATGGAGATAGTCTTATCAATCTCAATGGATGGAGTTGTTGGGAGAAGGTCTATAATGGATATTATTACATTCTCTAACAACACGCCACCTCAAAGAAAAGACTTATTGGTTTGAAGTTTACAAATGCCCTTCGTATTTTGTGTTTCAAATTAACTATTAATATCAGAGGTTGTAGGATATGAACACAATACCTCTTGGTCATCATAGGCTCTAATACCTTGCCAAGAAGCAACTAGTCCCACTAATTTGAGTTGTTGGTAGAGTTTCCAAAGTAGATCTTACACCAATCCTTTACACGCCCCATCAAACACCAGGAAACCCATGAGCTTGAAACATTCATAGGTTCATCATATCTTGTGCTTAAGCGAATTTTTTAATATTGGTGTGAGATCCGAACACAAGACCTATCGGTCATTACAAGTAGAGGTGTCAATCGGGCGGGGTTCATTCGGGTTGCGGGTTGATCGGGTTGCGGGTCGATCTGGTTGCGGGTTGGTCGGGTTGCGGGTTACTCGAGTTGCGGGTCATTCGGGTTACGGGTCAATCGGGTTGCTGGCCAATCGGGTTGCGGGCCAATCGGGTTCCGGGTCAATCGGGTGCGGGTCAATCGGGTTGTGGGTCGGGTCGGGCGGGTTACGGGTTTTACGGACCAGAACATCGCGTTAGTTTTTAGTGATTACTAGTAAGTCGTAAATCGTAAATATATGAAGATAGCACAATACTTGTAAAAAAGAAGGAATCACTACTCAAAGTCAAAGACTCAAAGGTGGGGGGACAAAATTTTGAGGAAACATTACAGGGGGAATTATTGGCGGGTCTCGGCGGGTGGGGGGAATCAAATTTTCGGGCAGTAGTATTGGGGGAACCGAAAATTTGGAGAGAAAAGTTTAAAAGTAGTTTTTTAATTTTTTAAAAACAAGTGAAATTGTTCATATAAATGCATAGAGAAATTGTTGGTTTAGCTAGTTTATTGTTTATATGATTTTTGTAATAAACTAAAATTGGCTCCTAAAATTTCAAGTGCCCCGCCATCCTAAGTCCTACCTTTTCCCTTTTATCTTTTATTTTAGCATTTTATTTTATTTTTAGGAGACTATGAAGGCGGAAGCAAGCTCCAGTACCCCATGGACTTTTGTTCTCCAGAAACTGAATGTCATTGTCTCCACCCAAATCACTCACCGCACCATTAATACCATATACTCTAACCATATACCCTACAAGTCGACTCTATAACCTATACCCTAAACCCCTACTGGTTTGATTCATGAACATATGTTAATAAGAAAAGTTGATCTTATTAGTTATGATTTTGACTAACCGTGGTCAAATCATTAAGACTTTATACCTTAACCATATACCCTATAAGCCGACTCTATAACCTATACCCTAAACCCCTAATGATCTGAATTCTGATTGATGAATATGTGTTAATAAGAAAAGTTGATCTTATTAGTTATGATTTTGACTAATAATTGTTAAACCATTAATACCTTATACCCCAACCCATTAGACTAGCCATATATCCTGTACATCGACTCTATAGTCTATATACGCTAAACCCCTAATGGTTTGATTCATGAACAAGTGTAATAAAAAACTCGATCCTTATTAGTTATAAGTTATTATTTTGAGTTTTTGATTAATCGTGCCTAAAATATTAATACCTTATATCCAAACTCATTACACTCATTATATACCCTATACACCAACTAAAATAAGCAAGTAGTTATGTGTACTAAAATAAGCAACTTAAATCTTATAATTATCTTATTATGCTAAATTAATATTTTATAATGTCATGTGCACTATTAGGTTGATGATGTATCTAAATAAATATTTGATGATATTATATGCGTTAATAGGTTGATGATGCATATTATTATACTAAGTTAATAATTGATGATGTAATGATCAGACTTTAGTGAACTAGAATTTCAAATGTCAACTTTTGGTTTATCTTCATCGAATTCCTTCTATTATAGTCGGGTTGCGGGTTGGTCGGGTTACGGGTAGTCGGGTTGCGGGTTGGTCGGGTTGCGGGTTAATCGGGTTGTGGGTTGGTCGGGTTGCGGGCATGGTCCATTAAACCGTACCGTACCGGCGGTTCAACCACAAAATACCAGTACCGGAGGCTAAACCGATAGGCGGTATTTAACGGTACTAAATGATGAACTACGGTTAAACCACGGTTTTGCCATAAAATACCCTACTGCTTACTTTTCCGGTACGGTCTCCGGTACGGTTTCATGGACCATGGTTGTGGGTCGATGGGGTTGCGGGTTGCTCGGGTTGCGGGTTGCTCGGGTTGCGGGTTGGTTGGGTTGTGGGTCGATCGGGTTGCGGGTCGGGCGGGTTACGGGTCATTGACTTTTAGTCAAATCGAGTTGCGGGCGGGTTGCGGGTCGGGTTGATCGGGCGGGTTACTCGTGTCGGGTTACATTTTGAAAGCTCTAATTACAAGCTATAATATAATGTCAAAAATCATTTGATCCCAATAACTATAGATTTTTATAGAAGGTCAATAATGGATCTTATATCATTCTATTACCCAACAAATGGGTGTATGTTCACCCAAGGACACTACCTCTAAAGCGGACAACACTAAGACTTTACCTGCCATTCTATGGGCAACCTAGTTGGCAGTCCGTGGAATCGTCCTAAAACTATACAAAGAGGACACAACTCCAATAAATGACGACACTCTCGAAGTAGGGTATCGCCCCAACGAATCTTCCATTGCCATATGGTATAGTTTCCGGATCACCACTTCAGAGTCACATTCGACGTTGAGAAGAGGCAAAATCCTTAAGACTCCTAGTTAAATGACATCTCTGGCAGCAAGCAGCTCCGTGAGGCAGGGATCGGATACTACCCGATGTTGAGATCCCAAGACCCCAATGCTGGTAGAACTTTCTCGTTTTCCCCATGCACGAAAAGCCAGACGAGCACCCAAAGTCTTCAACGACAACGTCAAAGTTGATCTTCATGAAAACATGAGGCGGGTAATCACAAAAGGTAGATAATGAGGGCGCATGACTATGACGGGGAACCTAGGAGGGTTGAAAAACTGAGGATAGTTCGAGAACTTGATAATGGAATTGACGGGCAAGAGAACGTGCATTTGGCTGAGTATACTTATAAACTACTCTGTTACGAGATTTCCATATTCTCTGTGGTAGACAAACGCATTGGAGAACGTGGGTTTGGAAGTTTTCAGGAAACATATCGCCACCAGATACTAAAGTTCACAGTCGAGGCAGAGCCAAGCAAATCACTTAATCCCAGAAATCCAAAGCTTGGTGGCAAGAGGACAACGAAAGAACAAGCGTTCAATGCTCTCTTGATGTTCCCAAAACACATGACATCAGATAAGGTTCCTTAATTCTTATACCTGATTATTTAGAATGAAAAATATATAACATCCGGGGATGGGGGTTAGTTTTACCACCAAAATTGTCAAACTAGTATCTTTTTTTTTTGGTCCGTCAAACTAGTATCTAGCTGGTTGGTTTAACCTGATCCAACTGGAATCAGTCATCTAAACGATTGAAATACGTTACGGTTGGACGGTTTGTGAAAAAAGTCAAAATCATGTTAAACCATTCAAAACCAATTAGTATATCCGGATTTGAAGATAATAATTGATAATTTGGTAATCTTATTTTTTCTGAATAAATAATTTAATAATATATAAATGTTGATTGCTCAGATTGTTTTAAAATATGTTAAATATATGCATAATTTATTTTTTATTTAAAATTTTAATGTATATTCTATTACAATCGGTTTAGACTAGCTGAATTGCATCAAACTATTAGACAGAAAACCACTTTTCAAATCAACTTAATGCCTATTAACAACCTTGGTTGCCACCTAGTTATCCCGACATTATTATGGTGCTAAGTATTTCCACTATTCCTTCCACAAAAGAAAGAGAGAGAAAAACACGAAACCAAAATAAAATATAACTAAAAGACGGAAAGCAATAGAAAAGAAAGGGAAGGAAAAGGGGGAAAGGAAGAGACTAGAGAGAAAGAAAGACTTTGGAGCACCACCGCACCGATGCCGATGTGACATGTTCTACAGTCCGAATCTTCTCTCCTCCCTCACTCTAGCCTAAGTTAGAGAGTTCACCACTCTCACTCTCGCCAAATGAAATGACTCACTGAGTCACCTCGTCTCCCCCGTTCCTTCTTCTTCTTCCATTCGATTCTCTTCCCTTTTTGAACAATAGATAGGTAGATGGGTTGCACGGCCTCTAAGCTCGACAACGAGGACACCGTCCGCCGCTGTAAGGAGCGCCGCCGTCTCATGAAGGAAGCCGTCCACGCTCGCCACCACCTTGCCGCCGCCCACGCCGATTACTGCCGCTCCCTACGCCTCACCGGCTCTGCCCTCTGCTCCTTCGCCGCCGGCGAACCCCTCGCCGTCTCCGAACAAACCCCCGCCGTCTTCCTCCACCCTCCCCACTCCTCCACCAATTCCATCCCTCCACGTGTCCCCCCTTCTCCTTCGCCTTCCCTCCACCCTCCCCCGCCTCCCCCTCCCTTTTCCCCTTCCATCGCCAGCTCCAAGCTCCCCCACATCCTCTCCGCCTCCAGCCTCGACGCCTCTTCCAATCGCCACCGCCGCAAGCAGCCGCCGCCGCCGCCGCCGAAACTCCCCCACATCCTCTCCGAGACCAGCCCTTGCTCTTCCCCTGCCCGCAGCGAGAAATCCAATTTCACCACCGCCTTCCCCACCGCCTACCAAGCCGAGTCCAACTACTCCCGCACCCCCTCCCAAGCCTCCTCTGTTTGGAACTGGGAGAATTTCTACCCTCCCTCCCCTCCCGACTCCGAATTCTTCAACCACAAAACTCCCCCGCCGCCGCCGCCGCGACACCAGAGCCACCACCTCGACGAGGCCGATGACGAGAGGACGGAGGCTGAAACCGAACGGTCAGAGTACGATTTCTTCCAGAAGCCGAGCTACCCGCATCTGATGGAAAACCCCACCGCCGCCCACAAGCAGTACAGTGCCGTCGACCAAGAGTTGGAGAGGGAAGAAGTTCAGTGTAGCGAGTGGGGAGATCACGATCGCTACAGCACAACGAGCTCCTCCGACGGCGGAGTAGAAGACGACGACGACGAAGCGGCCAGATCCGGGATCGGGACGAGGTCGAATTTCGGGGGATCGATGCGGGCGGAGTCTGTAAAGCATCAACCTCAGCAGAATCAGAAGCAGCCGACGCCGCCGCCTTCGATTTATCGGAACGCGGATGGAGCGGGCTCGTCGGCGAGTTTTAGGACCAGTGAGATGTCGGATATGAAAATGGTGGTGAGGCACAGGGATCTGAAGGAAATTGTGGAGGCTATTAAGGAGAATTTTGAGAATGCTGCAGCCGCCGGCGACCAGGTGTCGGAGCTGCTCGAAATCGGGAGAGCGCAGCTGGATCGCAGTTTCAGTCAGCTGAAGAGTGAGCTTTTTTTCTTTCTTTTTGTCGTTGCTGAGAATTTCAACAGTGTTTTGGTTTTGGAATTTATTTCTTAATTATAATTTTGGGAATTGAAATATTTTGCAGAGACCGTTTACCACTCTAGTAGTGTGTTGAGCAGCTTGAGCTCGAGCTGGACTTCGAAACCGCCATTGGCGGTAAAGTACCAGCTGGACACTGCGGCGGCAGGGGCCACAAGAAGCCTCTGCTCCACATTGGAGCGGCTTTTGGCCTGGGAGAAGAAACTCTACGAGGAAGTTAAGGTACCATTCTGTAATATTCCCCTATTTGTCATTGGGCTGCTTCTTTCCTTTCGATTGCTGGGCAAAAAGATAGCTTTGGTTAACAATGAGGTGAGGATATGCACTATGGCTAGACCGCCTCTTTAGCTTAGCTGGTAGCGTGATTCCACCGCACACGATTCGACCTGACACTGGCTCATTAGCAACCTTGACGTAACCCAAATCACATTTCCCCCCTACTGCTTCGTTTTGATTTAAATGGTAAGAGCCTGTTGGAGAAATTGTCCCAAGCTGATATTACTGCTGCCACAGGGGTTTTGTAAGGACGTCAGGGTATGATGGATGTGGTTAATTACTTAATTTGCATTGCTTGCATCAATACAGTTATGTATGGTGGGATGTGCAAACCAATGCTGTAAGGACCTCCTCTCTTGGCAACCAAATTTCTTCAAGGTTGGCTTGTGCTGGAGTACATAACTTTGTCAATCGGATCGCCAGCTATCAGAACTTTGTCCCTTAATGGGTTTTGTATTTTTCCTCAAAGTGGAGACAAAGTCCAGAAATACACTTGAACGCCGGTGGTGGTCGGCCCAACAGACCTGCAGCTTTTCTTTTGGCCATTTTCTGTCCTCTGGCTGTCCACCCCAACCCACCCCACTTTAGAGCTTGCACTCGTTACTCTCTTACATTTATTTGCCATCTGTTTGTCCATGCAAGGGAAAGAAACCTCCTTTGAGGAACATGGCCTGGAAATACCAGCAACTCAAACTGTTCATGTGTTGTTTTAGGCCAGAGAAGGTGTCAAGATTGAGCATGAAAAGAAGCTGTCGACCCTCCAGAGTCAGGAGTATAAAGGGGGCGATGTAACTAAGCTAGACAAGACAAAGACCTCAATCAAGAAGCTGCAGTCTCTTATTATTGTGACCTCGCAGGCTGTTTCCACCACCTCAACTGCGATTGTTGGTCTCAGAGACTCCGATCTCGTTCCTCAGTTGGTCGACCTTTGCCATGGGTATGTCACTCTATTCTCCTCTCTCCCTTTTCTCTTTCGAAAGAATTAATGCACAAGTAGCGTTGAGGAACAAGTACCAATGATCTATAATAATAGTGTCCTTATTATAGTTTGAACTTCTTTTTTCGTCAAATGAGATAAGGTCATTTGTCCAGGCGTTCATACACTGGAGCGTACATTACTACCTTCTTATGTTGTACACTCCTGGTCGATTCATTTCTCATTGGGGTTATTCTTGATCTATGTAAGTGCTCTCTAGTATTTTCAACACGCTCACGATTTCCCGGCACGCTGATTGTGTCGCAGATCGTTATTCTATGAATTATGTGATTCGTTTACCATCTATTGGGATGTCAAGTCTCAAGTATGATAGGTTAATAGTACTATATCCTTCCATGGTAGTAGGTGAAGCACATAATAAGGCTACTGCCCAGCTGGTGCCACTTGCTTTCATGCCTTAATGTGAACGCATGTGCTTTTCTTGTCCTCCTACTGTTCAATTCTCAACTAGCACCCAAAGTCATAAAGTTGGCCCATCTCTCGACCTCGTTGCTTATGTCTCATCTCATTTCCTGGCCCTGTTCGAGGTCAAAAGGTTACTGACATTAATCGAGAACCAGGTTCAATGCACTGATATGTCCCCACCTCTCAATTGGGTATTGTTGATTTATGTGAGCTAGTGACTAGTGAGGTTTTGTCACTCTTAAGAGCAACCAGGGGCAATTGCAACACACAAGTATCAGCTGACATGACAATTGTAATTGGAGGCACATGAAATTGCAACTGAATCGCATTGTTATTGTAATTTGTATGAGCGTACCACCATGAAGTCTGGCTTTTCGGAATATGATGTGCTAACATTCGGTGGTAATGCATTCCCCCCTGCAGATTCATGTACATGTGGAGGTCGATGCACCAGTACCACGAGGTCCAAACCAACATCGTGCAGCAGGTGCGGGGCCTAGTGAACAGGTCGATGAATGGCCACTCGACCTCCGAACTCCATAGGCAAGCCACACGCGACCTTGAGTCGGCTGTCTCAGCCTGGCATTCCAGTTTCTGCCGCTCGATAAAATTCCAGCGCGACTTCCTTCGATCGGTCCAGACATGGTTCAAGCTGACCCTTGTCCCAGTGAGCAGCACAGACAACACCACAAATGGTGCCGTACAACGGTCCGACGTGTACGCCTTCTGCGATGAGTGGAAGCTGGCCCTGGATCGTGTCCCCGACACGGTGGCTTCAGAAGCTATAAAGAGCTTCATCAATGTGGTCCACGTGATATCGGTAAAGCAAGCGGAGGAGCTGAAGATCCACAAGAGAACCGAGAGTGCATCGAAGGAGCTGGAGAAGAAGGCGTCCTCGCTACGCAACATAGAGAGGAAATTCTACCATTCGTATTCGATGGTAGGAGTGGGGCTCCCTGATAACGGGGCGGAGAATGGACCGGCGGGGCTGGATGCTCGAGATCCACTGTCTGAGAAGAAATCAGAGCTGGCGGCGTGTCAGAGAAGGGTGGAGGATGAGATGGTGAAGCATGCTAAAGCAGTGGAGGTTACTAGAGCGATGACGTTGAACAATTTACAGACAGGGTTGCCGGGGGTTTTCCAGGCCTTGACTAGCTTCTCTGCATTGTTTACGGAGGCGCTTGGGACGGTATGCACCCATTCCTACGGTATCTAGTAGCGGTGCAATTTTTGTTTTACTTGGTTTGTTTATGGGGTGGGGAAGTTTGTTGTGTAAGGGCTGGGCAAAATTTTCCTTTCTATTTTGGATGGGGAAAAGTATCATCATTATATTTTTGACATGTAAATATGTGGCTGTTTCGATTTTGGCGATATATGTCTTTTTTGTTGTTGTTGTTGTTGTTGCTGCTACTCTTGATTTTGGTTGGAAAGGAGAGAAATGGGGACTCTCTGTACATGACACGATTGCTGCTTTGCATTTGTTGTACTAGAGGAGGTGAAATAAATTATGCTGCCTGCCTGCCTAATGTGCATCTGTTTTCTTAATGAATGAACTTTAACCCAAGCATTTTAACTTGTAATAATACGCAACTATTAAAAATCCCCGACCCGATCGGTTTGCGTTAGCCTTAAATTCTATGTTTTGTAGCAAATCTGGAACTCCGGCTCTCTGACAGAATCAAGATCTTCGTTGGCCGTGTAGAGAAAAAAAGAAAAAAAACCAAATTCAAAATGAGAGCCACAGTTTGACCGGTGCTTGCTATGGTTATGGTTAGGTCTAATCCGTCTGTCTAACTCAAATGCAACTGCACGTCTGGCTGACGTTAACCGGCCGGATTTTGGGATCTCTTATGTCGATCAGTTTACAAATTTGGGCTGCACAAGCAAAGCAATTCAATGTTACTTCTGGACCGGACTGACACCAACAGTGGATCTGTATCTGTTTTCAAGTTGTGCATCACTACACAGTACCGCCCCACCCTAAATTTAGTAATTTACACACGAATCTGTTTCTTTTCTTGGGTTAAAGTGATAAACCTTTGAGTTTAAGCAAAATAATATATAATAAATCTTTTAAAAAATATTATAATACCTTAATTGTGAATTTTTCGTCCAGTCAAAAGCCACTTGACTATGATGTGGCTAATTCTTATTGACATTGTAGTCAAGAGACTCTGAGTTTGATCCCCAATGAAGTCGTATAAAACTTCCACATTCTGATCAAATCTTACAAAAGCCAAATTGATCAAATTGTAAATCTTACATCACACTCAATATGCAATTGCAAAGGAGAATGCACTAATGTAGTGAGCATTTGTAAATAAGCAAGCTTGCATTTGATAAAATTTAAGATGCAAACCACATAAAAAAAAATTCATTTTACTCATTTTCCCCCTCTCCCTTTCTCTTATTCTACGTTGAGTTCAGACTTTAGTAAAATTGTGATAGCCTTCATGAGGCTTATGGATTGCTTAAAAAATAGGGTAAATACAATTTAATATCTAAACCTTTCATTTTAAACAATATAATAGCCAAACCTTTTCGAAAACAATCTAATATCCAAATCGTCAACTTTCCGTTCGTTTGACCGTTAGTTGACACTTCAAAAAAGCTTTGTTTAGGGGAAATTGTCAGAATAAAACTTTGTTTCTTGTCTTCGCATTGCAGATGACTGAATATTTAGATATTCTATACCATCATGGTGGAGTCATGGACTTCTCGGGTTTGGAACTACGATATGCTGGTGGTTTTTCAGAGAAGATATCGATGGATATTGATGAAGTGTCGTACTTCGAACTTTTTTGAAGTGTCAACTAACGGTCAAACAGACAGAAAGTTGACGATTTGGATATTAGATTGTTTTCGAAAAAGTTCGGCTATTATATTATTTAAAATAAAAGATTTGGATATTAATTGTATTTACTCTAAAAAATACTAACGAAACATCTCCTTCAGTAATTATCACAAGCAGTTAGATGTTCCTTCAGTAATTATCACAAACAGTTGATGTGCAGATTGGCAAACACAATGAAACTTTTCCACCAAAACAACCAAATTGTCTCTCTTTGCTTTTGTTAACGCAAACAAGTAACAAAATTGGTTTGCTTTTGTCAACGCTTTGTCTCCATTTGCTGTCGGGTTCTTCCATGGCGGAAGTTGTTTCCATTGCCTTCCTCCCGCCAGGATGCGGCTAGCCGGAAGGGGGACGATGATACGGCGGATTGTTAGAGTTGTTTGAAAGTTGAGATTCTTCAAATATGTGTATTTGATGAATACATGTATTGTAAATACAAAGATGTTAAGAATTATATGAATGAAAGAATGTTTTGTTTAGAGGTGGCAATTTTCAATTCAATCCACCAATCCATTAAAAATATCCATATAATCCAATCAATTTAAATCCAATTGGATTGGTGGATTCATGGATTGATCCATGGATCCAAATGACAAATTACGATTTGGTAACTATATTTTTTATATTTTACATTTTGGTATCTAAAATTTAATTTTTTATACGAAAAATATCATTGAAAAATTACGTTTTGGTACCTAAATTTTTTCATTATGACATTTTAGTACATAAACCTTTCAAATTTACATATTTTTCTAAAGTTGAGGATGTCATTTGGATTCATGGATTATCCATCAATCCACTTGATCCAATCCATGAATCCATTTAATCCAATTCATTAGATCCATGGATCCACCAATCCATGGATCAATCCATTTGCCACCCCTATTTGTTTGTTTGTAGTCATTCAAAATTTTTAAGGAAAAGAAAAATCACTTTATGAGCTAGAAGTGAAACAAATTAAAACCCACAATCTCAAAAGAAGAATCTCATCTTTTTGTTTAGATTTAAAATGAATGATTGTAGGTGATATGAGATTTGAGGGCCCACCACAATGCATGTATTGAATAAAGTTTTGGAACAAAAAACGATTAATTCTCCAAAATACATGAATTCAAAGAATCATTCATCTATAATCATAACTTCCAAACCACCCCTTAATTATTATAAATGACAAGCGTGTGACAAACTTGTAATTAATTGTGGTCAACATTTAAAACAGAAAAGTAATCAAAACGAAATGTTTTGATTTGCTGGAGCTATTGTTAGCATGGTGTTAACAAAAAAAAAGTATTAGTATAGTAACATTTATCGTGAATTGCATTGATGTAATGAAATTAATATAAATCGGAGAGGTAGCAAGACAACATATGCAATTAATGTGGATGCTATTATCCCTTCGCATCCAACGATCTCCCTATATAAAACATTCCTATCAAATGATCTTCGGAAAACCAAACATCTCCCAAAATTTCATTGCTAAACAACTAATCGAATAAAACGAGGCTTCCCTCTGGGATATGAATAGGCACTGCTTCTAATATTCCATGAAGCCGAGCTCCATCATTGCCAACTTCGATACACTGCCTTTGATCTTCCTGCCTCTATAGTCAAGTTTCCATCCGCCTGCACATCATTCAGCTATGGGGTTGATTTGTGATAGAGTATGTTTCCCCTGCGCTGCTCACAGAGGACCCATAAATTTTATGTAACTCTGTTTCCGAAGGGAGGGAGGGAAATTGAGAGAAATGAAAGTTTGGAGGGGAGGGAAATGGAAGGAAAGGAAAATTAGAGGAGGAAAATGTTGTTTTATGGAGGAAAGTGAAAGAAAAAGTGGGAGAAAAGATATGTATTGGGAAGTGTGATAGATATGTTATTTTATTGGTTATATAATAGTAAATAATTAAATTATGTGATGATATTATTTCTTACTTATGATTGACGGATCAAATTTATTTTTCTTGCTAATTTGGTTTTTTATTAAAAAAAATTCACTTGATTTAAAATCTGATTCATTTTAATTATATTAAAAAAATTCCCATTAAAATTGGATTGCCTTTGTTGTAAAAGAAGACATGTTATATGGTATTAATCATATGTTAGATGAGATTTGATATAATATTAGAAATGTCTGGACTAATCGGTCGGATCGTTAATCCTCAACCCACTTGCTCGACTGGACTAACGAGCTAAACCGGGTTGACAACCTTGTGTAACAAACTTTTACGTGTCACGTAACAGTATTACGTATCGCATAAACAATATCATATGTATGAGTATAAATGGATATAAAATCATTTGTACTCCGGTCAAACCGTACCAATTACAAAATCAACGTAAAAGTATAAATTAGTTTGCCAATTCTATTCATAATTATCCTTACCATATAATTACTCACCATAATCATTTTTTTTTTGATTTATGCTTAACAATAAGTGATAAGTTACCATTTATAACAAAATATATATGTCAAACTCTTTATCATACGTAAAGCAAAACAAAGGAAAGAAAGAAAAAGAAAAAAAAAAAAAAAGAATGACCCACCAGAGAGCTTTCTCTCCAAATTGGGGGTAGGGTTCTACAGGAACCTTTCCCTTCCCATTTCCATTCCCTCCACCCATTCTCTCCTTCAAGAATAGGGGACAAGTCCTCGTTATTTGTGCTTTCTTCCCTTTCTTTCCCTCCCCTTCACTTTCTGCACTTTATGAACATAGTGGTAGGGTGTCTCTTTCAAGTTAAATTAAAATAATAATTTAAGTTAAAAAATTACTTAATAAGAAAATATCTGATTAATACAAGTTACAACAAAAAACAAGTATTTTAAAACGTACAGAGGTTGTACCGAAAAAGTTAACAGTGGGATATTTTAGAATACATTCATGGTTTAACCATTTCATATAGCTAAACACTACCTACTGGTTTTGTATCCGGAAAGAGATTTTTCATGTCGAACCGCCGGTATGGTATCGATTTTCAATCCTTGACAAAAAGTCGACAACATGTTACTCGTCTATATTGCTCATCAAATCTTTTTCAATATATCATACTAGACAATTTTTTACGAATTAATCGCTTATTCGATTACGAACCTTGTCCTTGTTGTAACCCAAAGCTGAAAAATCTCTCTCGACACTTAGAGTTGCAACCAGTAAAATCAATACACCTTTGAGTAGAAAACATACCCATGGATACGTTAGGTTCAATTTTTTTCTCCATCATCAACTCAACTAATTTAATCTACAAAATAACTCATCATTTTTAACACTATGATATCAATTTTCAAAATCATGCATAAGAAGAAAATCAGAAATATGACTGGGTTCACTTTTAGGCTTTGAAAAATTTGAGGATAAATATTACACATTTACATTTACAACAAAATCACAACAACAAATGAAGTGTAGTCAAATAGAAAAAATGTGATTATAAAAATAATAGAAAAATGTTTACTAATTACTATAGTATTATACATTCAAATCGCATATACTATCATTTCCCCCCTTTTCCATACTCAAACTACTATAGAGGATTCACTAATTTTCTCCCAAATTTTAGGGGTGTCTCGGCCCTCGGGACACCCCTATCCTTCACCTAGGTCTGCCTCTGCCTGCCCAAAGCCTTTCTTTTATCCAGTCAAGTATTGCTCAAACTTTTGCTCGGTTCTTCTTCGATTGTCTTTTGAAACTTGGTAGGGCAGGCAAGTGACCAACAT